TTGTGACCCCTTGCTCTCCCCCACTTTGCCTATGGGGGTGTGTCAAACATTATATATGTTGCGTTTGTTAGGCTACAGTGGGTTAGCCTATAGGGGGTACACAATTCTAGGGTTAGGTACTTGTACTGATTTCACTGTTAGTTCAATCATTCCTGTCCGTTCATTCTGACACTACACTTAACTAGGACACAACAAGCACATATACAGAGCGATATTGGAGTCTCAATAGACGGTTATCTCTAATGATCCTTAAGGAAACACATTATGCACACTACATACAGCTGCTGGCGGGTCAGCGAGCGTAAAGTTGCAATGACTGTATCAATTTAGGGAGGAAGTTCAGCAGCCATCGAGGGCGCTCTGGAGGAGACTGTGGAGGAAGCATGCTGAGTGAGTGTAGACTCTAAGATGCATTTGGGGTGTACAGGCGAGGCAACCGTTTGAGTTGCATACTTGCTGTAATGTGATGTGACTCGGTGCGAAGTAGGAAACTTATAGGGACAGTCAGAGGAAGTTGCAGACAATGCAAGTAACAAACATCTCGATCGGAACACGGCTCACTCCTGATGTGGTAGGCTAATGCAGATCTCAGTTTCAGGTCAAGCCTGTAGCTTCCACAGGCGCTACTCACAGGGTCTGGAGTGCTGTCATGAGGCTGAAGTCACTGGGAATCGTCCCCGTTAGCTGGTTGTTGCCCAAATTTCTGGTTGCAGAAAGGATGCAGTAAAGATGGAAGGGTTGGGAGGAGACTGGAGGTGTGGGAAGAGGTGGGTGGGGCGTGGTCAGCTTCGTCTGCGTTACGTGGCCACTGAGGCCAACCTTGCTGATGTGTTCACCAAGGCGCTTCAGCCTTGTGACCATCAGCGTTTCTGTACTCTTCTAGGCCTTGTGCCTGCTGGACCTCACTTACTTACTTCTTGACCCTGCTTGTACTGTGATCTTTATATATATACCTGCATGTTTACACTTGCTAGGTTGTGATCACTGTATCTCTTGTTATATTATCAACCTGCATGTGAACTGGTCTTGTGACCGCTTGCTTGTGCTCGGAATTTGTGTGGTATCCTTGAGATCCACCCTGAGCTTGTTTTGCTTTGCTTTGACTGGTCTTGTGACCCCTTGCTCTCCCCCACTTTGCCTATGGGGGTGTGTCAAACATTATATATGTTGTGTTTGTTTAGGCTACAGTGGGTTAGCCTATAGGGGGTACACAATTCTAGGGTTTGGTACTTGTACTGCTTTCACTCATAGTTCAATCATTCCAGTCTCTTCTTTCTGACAGGCTCCCCTTCACTCAGCCGTAAGGACGCCAGCTCACGCTCTAGCATGAGTGTTGCAACCACCGACGTTGGCGCGTGTAGTTCCTTTAGCACCGCCCATGCTCGTGGTCCATTATCAACTTCCCCCAGTAGGTGCATTACGTGTGCCCTCTGGTTAAGTTCCAAAGTCTGCGACAAGAGGTAGTAGCCGGCTGACGCACGTTCGTCCCATTCTTCTTGTAGGACGGGGTCGCTCGGCCTCTTCTCCTCTCCCGTCATCAACTTCAACAATCCCACTTGCCGGAAGTACAGCTGCATTTTCCACGCCCAATCGTCGTAGCCACTGCCGTTGAACTTATCGACAACGAAGTTCTTAAGCACATCCTTCAACAGTGAGCCCCGGCTGGTCCGCACTCCCCTTGGCGCCAAACCACCATCATCTTGAACTCCACTATTAGCTCGTGCCACGGATCCTTCGTTTCCACTCGACTCCATAGTGTTCTAACGGCAGTCCTTAGAACCAGCTCTGATACCACTTTGTTGACCGTTATTTGAGATCTAGAGGCTCTTAACACACCTTTAAATCACACAAGATAGTCCCCACGGGGTCACCTCCAAGGGTCCTCAGGTGCTTGGTAGAACCAGCCCCTATCCAAGAGTCCGTGTTTGAAAAGGGAATTTCCTTAGTGTGAAAAATAGTCGTGCGTTCTAGAGCGTTCCCAAAATCCGTTGCGCAGCGTTGACGACGAAACGGGCTCGTGTGCAGAAAAGCTCTTCACGTCAATACGTTGATAGAGCACGTTAACTCGTGAGAGTGATTCGGAAAATATTTCCACTAGAAAGGATTGATTACAAACAAGCACAAACACGCATTTTATAATTCGCCTAACACACACGCAAAGGAAAGCATGAAGCAGTTGGAAGGCGGAGCCCTTGATTTTCTGCCATGCTGTACTCGGAAAACGGTTGCTTAATTTCGTAGGATGTTGCCTTTCTTCTCCTCTTGTAACACAGGGCAATTCCATTGCTGACTCCTCCCATAAACATTTGCGGCTTCATGTGGCTCCCATATGGCTCTCATAAGTCGCATATGAATTTCATGCGAGTTGACAGCTGTAAAACGGTTTTAACCATTTAATGACGCGAGCAACCGAATTGTACATGCGGCAAATTTATTCTTAAATGCGGCGTGACTTTCTCGAGAAATTTCGAGTTCGCCACGTCAGAAAAGACAGACTCGAGATTCAGTTGTTCAACCAAAATCTCGAGTCAAATCCCGAGCACCTCTCGGGATCCCTTGGCACCCCTCGAAACACACGCGCACCCCTCGGGTGCGCAATCATGCACGACCGACTTTTCGGTCGTACTGTACAGTGCGCGGACGTGCGCTGTACTGCGCATGGGCAGGGCGATCATTCGCCCTGTCCTGTTGCGATCGTGGGCCCTGCCACGCTCGCAACATTGCCAAGGCACATGCTCGAGCCCTGAGGGGCCACACGCGAAATCAGGGTCCCACGCGCGGATCCTGATACACTCGCGATTCTCCCTTGACCAGTCAAAATATCTAGCCCCACAGAAACGCCACACGATACACCACTCGCTCGAATGAGCCACGAATGAAACATTAGAAACAAATGGCACTTTCATGGGAAGCTCGTTTGAGCCTCATTGGAGCTTCATGAGAGCTTTCATTTGAGCGCATCATGTGAGCCTCATTTGAGCGCTTCATGAGAACAGTGAAAACGCAAATGAAAATGCACTAACACAAAATGCAAATACGAATGAAAATGAAACACACAAAATGCAAAAACGAATGCGCACAGAACACACAAAAAATGCGCACACACAAAATGCAAATTGAAATGCACAACTCCCACACAACAAATTACCTTAAACCAAAACACCCCAAGTTTTCTTCACTGTCGTCGAATAGGCGGTAGGTTGACGTGCAAATTAAATATTTGCACCCAACACATTTTACACTATAAAATTCTCAGTTTTAAATGTTCTTTTCCAAAAAATGGCTGAAAAATCAGCCCTGGTTCTTTAAATCAATCTGAAATATCAGCCCTTTTTACCTAAATCAGCCTTTTTTTTATAACCTAAATCAGCCTTTTTTTGCTGAAATCTGAGGCCCTGGCGATGGTGCTAAGCGTGGGAGATGCAGTATCAGTTGAACAAGCATTAGGGTAACTTAGACGACACCCTTACAATACAAGGGGGAAAAGTGCAAACTTTTTGGACAGAGCGTGCTAAATTCAGTAGATCACATCAGAGTAGCTGCCAAATGCAGCCTGCAGAAAGGGTATGATAGTCGAGGTATTTTATCTTAAGGTTTTGCGCAGAGTATGGCAGCCAGGGGCAAAGTGAATATGGCAGACTGATCCTACAAACAAGAGATTGTGCCAATGCAAACAATCAACATGTCAAGGTTCGCATTTCCCGGCCTTGATCTTGACTTGGTCCGGAATGCACACTCTGGTGGCTTTGACGAGCTTATCTATGCAATCGTAGCCGTTGACCCGCTTGTAACACCCTTTGATTCCACGGAAGTACTTGACCTGCAGGCCAGTGCAGCGGTCGCCACTCCCAACAACGTACGCGCGAGTCTTGGGGCACACTCCTTGCGTGAAACTGAACGAGCTCCCTATGCACGCCTGCTCTTGCCACGCAGCAAGCGTGCATGGGGAGGAGAGGGTGGAGATGAGGGAAAGAGGGAATCGCGGTGATTTAGAGGATGAGAACAGCATGGAGGTGGTAAGGTAGGTGTTTAGGCATGTAGGTAAGTAGGTATGCAGGTATGTGGGCAGGCAGGTGAATAGGCAGGCATGTAAATAGGCAGGCAGGAAGGAAGGCAGGCAGGCAGGAAAGAAGGCAGGCAGGAAGGAAGGTAGGCAGGTAGGTAGGCAGGCAGGTAGGTAGGTAGTTGATTAGGCAGGCAGGTATGCAGGCAGGTGGCAGACAGGCAAGCAGCCAGGCAGGCAAGCAGGCAGGCAAGCAGGCAGGCAGGCAGGCAGGCAGGCAGGCAGGCAGGCAGGCAGGCAGGCAGGCAGGCAGGCAGGCAGGCAGGCAGGCAGGCAGGCAGGCAGGCAGGCAGGCAGGCAGGCAGGCAGGCAGGCAGGCAGGCAGGCAGGCAGGCAGGCAGGCAGGCAGGCAGGCAGGCAGGCAGGCAGGCAGGCAGGCAGGCAGGCAGGCAGGCAGGCAGGCAGGCAGGCAGGCAGGCAGGCAGGCAGGCAGGCAGGCAGGCAGGCAGGCAGGCAGGCAGGCAGGCAGGCAGGCAGGCAGGCAGGCAGGTGGCAGGCAGGCAGGCAAGTAGGTAGGTGGTTAGGTAGGCAGGTAAGCCTTCACTTGCCATGCAATCAAATGCATGTGGGGAGGAGGGGAAGAGGGTGGAGGGGACGGAAAGAGGGTGGAGGAAGGGGGGAAGAGGGTGGAGGGAGGAGGAAAGGGGGGTTGAGAGAGTCTGGCAGCAGTGTGTTTTGCAGTGTAATCTACAGATGTGAATTGTTTGAGTAAGCCGAGACAGAAAAACAGCCTAGCGAGACAAGCAATAGATGCCTTGGAACAGAACCTGCATGGCTGCGGGTAATACTAGGTGGGAACCACAGAGATAATGAGCATGACTCCGAGTGACAAGAGGAGAGGGCACGGATGAGTGGGAGAGGGCGAAGAATGGGAGGGGAGAATGCAGGGGAGGAGAGGATAAAGCAGGGGAAACGGCAGTGTGAAAAAAGAGGAAACCTCGAAGCCTGTGAGGCTGGCGACGTCAGTCTTGGGCACGAGGCGGCTGCACTTGATGCCGGGGTTGAGGCGGAAGAAGTCAATTGGGGAGAGCGGCGGGGAGGGCACGGAGCGGATCTGGTCGCACGTCTCCCCGGCCTGCACCAGATAGAACTGCGAGCACACCGGGATGAGCAGCGCCGCTGCGCTCTCCGCCCGCCGCTCCACACACACCGCCTGGCTGGGCAGCAGGTCCCCGCTGCTGCCGGAGCAGTCCAGCCCGGGGTTGAGCGCCTGGAAGGCTGCTGCACAGGTGGGAGGCTCGGTTTTCTCGGGGCAACCGACGGTGAGGGAGAAGTATGCGGCTAACGACTCGCATGTGTCACCCTGGGGGATGGGCACGAGAAAGGGGGAGAGGAGATGGGAGGACGAGGGAGAAAAAGAAGAGAGGAGATGAGCAGGCGGGAAACAGGGGGAAGGACGAGAGCGGTGTCAAAAAAGGTCTCTGTAAACAGGGGAAGGTACCCAAGGAGTGAGGACAGGATTGTGAATTGCTTTGAGATGACATAGGACCCGTTTGGCAGTGGTTTAACACCGATGGATAGAACGACCAGGAGCGATGTAGCGCGAGACTGCACTCAATGTGTAGGTAGGATCTGGTTGAGTGTGCATCATTGGTTGATTACACTCAATGTGGGTACACGAGAGATCACACGAGCTCAGGATAGTAGACTCAGGTGAATGAACTGAAGATGCAGTGATATGGTGTTTTAGCGAGGGTATGGATGGGTTTTGCATCCTGCATGTCTGAATACATTGGAGATGTAATAAAAATTTGCAAGAGAATAATGGTAGTCGCATGTGACTTGCAACGATCTGTGAGGGAGGGAGGGAGGGATGAGGAAGTGAGAGGTGGAGGGAGGGGTGGAAGGAGGTATGGAGGGAGCCAGGTAGGCTGACAAGGAGAGGAGGGAGGGAGCATACCTCAGACGTGGTGTAGTAGACGGAGCAGGGCGCAAGGTCGTTTGGCTGGACCACGTTCACCACCATGCCAACAGGGAGCGGAGCACTGCAGCTCAGGTCCTGGATCGGGAAGGAGGAGTGGAGGAAGGATAGGGGGAGGAATGTTGTGGGAAGGGAGACTTATGAGTTCAACTTAGGAAACCCATGATGCAACTCATGGGCTGGTGGGGAGGGGGACAATGTTGGTTTTGAGACGTCAATCATCATTGACGCTACTTGGCGCTTGGGTGGGCATGCAAGAAAAAACATCAGGTAGAAAGAACCAAGGAAGGAGTACACGATATTATGTGGGATGAGGAAGTGTAACTCACAGCCATCCCCAATTCGTTAAAAAAAAAAAAAATTTAAAAAAAAAGGGGGAATCTGTAGCTTACCATCCCACATTTTTGTTGGGTGCAAATACTGTTTCAGCACGTCAACCAACCGCTCGCATATCGTCCCACATTTTGTATATTTCGTGTGTTTTAGTCATTGCATTTTGTTTCAGTCGTTTTTTCTCTGAGCTCATGACAAGTCACGAAGATTCATGAAACCATTGTAATTTCATGAATTCTCATGAACGATCATGTGTTTTGATGAAGAAGGCGGCCATCATGAAGCCTCATTAATTTTCATGAGTCCTCACCTCATGGCGAGCAATGAGTGTTGATGAGGGGCTCGAGAATTGCTATTTGGGCCCTCGATCTTTTCGCGCTGGTCAAGGCAAAAGCGTGCGAAAATCGAAACCTGCGCATGGGGTCCTGATCTCGTGTGTGGCCCCAAAGGGCCCGCGCATGTGCCTCGAACTGTTGCGAGCGTGCACAGTGCGCACGATTGCAACATGACAGAGCGGCATGATCGCCCTGGTCAGCTCAGCGCAGGGCAGTGCACGATCGCCGACGAGATCACAGTGTACACCACGATAAAAAAAGAACAGTTGGAGTGGGAAAGGAAGGGTACAGGAATGCAACGAGGAGCCTTCAACAAGAACATAAGAACATATGCTCACCATGTTCTGGTAAAATGATTAAGGCCGTATTCCCGGTTGGTGGCAGGGCAAGTAACTGTTCACGTTGAGTTGGTGGCATGCGCAATTTTTGGCCCCGTGTTTTTGGGAAGTCGACACCAGGTCAACACTGAACAGTTGCCCTGCCATCAACCGGTAATACGCCCTAACCTCATGGTGTTCTAATATTGTAAGTTGATTGCAGCAAGTAGATATGAAAAAAAAATGTTTAGTCATATCAGAAAAGAAAGGCATCACTGCATTCTGGGCTAGAGACTGCCAAGTGGCCTCACCGGGTTCTGGGCTTTTAGCTGGGCAAGAGTGAGCCCATACACGGGGTGGATGTCGGCACATGTGAGCCCCTCCAACACCACCGTGTACTTGCCGCTGGAGTCGCCTGTGCAGTGCGGTGCAGCACAGTGCCGAGTGGAGCAGATGGGTGTTAACAAGTGAGCGAGTACAGGTGATTGGTTACGAGATGATACGGGGGTAAGTGTGGTAGGATAGTTTAAATGGCAGACGGGCTTTGGAGGTTTCTGAGGGGGAACATGGTGAAGTGAAAGGCACTGCCCGGTTGGTGGCAACGGCATGAAAAGGAGCTCTGTGGTGGCGTAGCATTGCAACATGAAAGGCCAACTCGGTGGCGTAGCATTGCAACGTGAAAGGCCAACTTGGTGGAGAAAGAGTGGAAACAAGTAAACTTAAGACACGAGAGACATCTGGAGCGCAAGTAAAGAGTTCTAGATATAGAACAGGGGATGGCTACTCCAAGCACAGGAGACTGTTACCTGGACCACAGGAGTAAGTGCCATCAACGGTGGTGCCCTGCTTGAAGCCGGGAGGGCAAACACACGAGTACGACCCCTTGCCATCATTCACACACGTGCCCACCGCACACGGATTGCGCACCGCTGCCCTGCATGCATCCTCTGGGAGACAAGACAAGAGATAAGAGAGAGAGAGAGTGAGCCAAGGTGATCATCCTTTGAGGAGACTGAACACTTATGATGTAAAGCACGAGACATCTCAAAGACATACTCTGGTGTATAATACCAACTAGATATGAGCATCAAACCGAACTTAGGTTCGGTTCGAGAAGTTCGGTTCGAGTTATCTCGAACCGAACTTTTTTTCCGCGAAAAAGGTTTGAGCAAACCTTGCTAAAGTTCGCGCGAACAGTTCGCTCAAACTTTTTCTATTCGAGTTTGGAACCTCAAACCGAACAGGTTCGAAGTTCGAAAAGGTGAAATTCGAACCGCGAGGTGTTCGAATTAAATTCCCGCCAGAAAAAACCCCTCGCGACTTTCCCGTCGAAAACGGGAAAGTCGTAGGTTGGCTGCCATTTGAAGGCAGCCAACCCTTGAATCGTAGCAGAGCAGAGTAGATCTAGATCTAGATCAACTCTAGTTCATCCATGCTTCCCCACTACCTTTGTTTCACCTCAGCTCCAACTTAGGATGCGTCAAACGTCAACTCGTTTCTTATGTTTGACAGATTAGTGATGCCTATTTATTGTCGAGAGATTAACATGTGCATCATTCTGAACCTCAAACCTGTAAAGGTTCGAGTTCGCTCAAACCTTAGAAGGTTTGAGCAAACCTTTAGGGTTCGCCATTGTATACTCAAACCTCAAACCTTAAGAGTCTGAAAAAAGTTCGAGCAAACCTGTTCGGTTCGGTTCGACCAACATGCAAGGTTCGAAAAGGTTTGAACAAACATGTTTGAGTTCGGTTCGTGCTCATATCTAATACCAACCACAATAAACGAGGTGGGGAACACAGGAGGACATTGAGGAGGTTTAAGGTTCAAGTTTACTAACACAGGTGGCACCTACGTTTATCCTGATCAAGGGACTGAGTGGTAGTGCAGGTGGCAGTAAGGATCACATGCATGCAAGTCAAGATTACGTATGCAATACACGTTTTTCATTGCCTCTTTGAGTAACAAAGTGAGGCGTGTATTACGAGCGATGTTTGACCTCGCCGGACTCATTACTCGTTACGAAGTTTATTATCCTCTCACAACTCTCCCTATGCAACTAAGTCCGGTTGTTCTGCAAGTAACGCTTCTTGGTTCAACACTCTTCAACAACGTCAAGTATTCCTCCCGAGATCATGAGGAGCAGTTTAAGGCTTGTATATCCCTTGGTGAGATTGATTAACTCTTGGATGCTTCGTAACTTCGATTATGCATTAAGGAGGACATCCCCTATTTGCCCAGAGCTATATATAAGGGACCAGCCGTTGTTACACCTGCCCAGTAAATTCTAGTGGCAAAACAAAAATGTCGCCATTTAGGTGTTAAAGTTCTCAAATTGTTGCCAATCGGTTTTGGGCGAGACTAGTTACTCGCCGCGTTGCCCATGTCTATCCCAAGGTTTTTGGGCGCCCATGTGTGCGACTCGGGGTGAGACGAGGCGCACACGCGATTACTTGAGAAACCAGTTACGTTACGAATCGCAGTCTGTGCCTTGCCTGACGATAAATCTCTATGTAATCATTCTGGAAAATATACTAACAACATTGAGATTCTGAAAATGGTTGAAGTGTGCATTGTCAACTTCAAGCAAAGCTGCGCATACTTTTGGAGTGATCGTGGAAAACACGATAGGCACTAGCAAGTAGACTATTGCTGGCCTAGAGACCTATGGTTCTGGGTAAGCGTTACAGACAAGGGGCCTGACGGATTGTGGTCGTGCTCACCCGAAATGATTGATAATAATTGACTTCTATCAAGAGCAAACGCATAATAAAATGCTCACTGTAAGCACAGGTGCGTGTGTTGTCAGGCTGAAGAGCCTCCACGAATCGCGGGTCGTTGCAATCGCAGCGGTTGCTGCTTCCATCAACAGTGCACGTGAAGTTGCCACACGGGTTGAATAACGAACCAAACTCCTCCCTAGTTGTTCCGTTGACGTTGCAGGGGTCCCTGGCAGGCACCACCGGGTAGATCCCAGGCAGCGTGTTGATCCCACACACGCCGTCGCCCCCCTGGATGTCCATCCGCATGTGCCCGCCGTCGCCCCACTCCGGGCCCCATGAGTTGCGGATGATCCAGAAGGGCGGCGCCATGTGCGGGAAGGTCGGGTCTGAGCCGGTGAGGCGATAGCCCACCAGCAGCACCACGTGGTTCAGGTTGTACGTGAAGCACGCTGGGTCCGCGTACTTGGATAGCTGGGGGGGAGGGGGAGGGGGGGTGTTTGAGGGCGCAAGGGTGTGGATCAAAATGGATTCTGAGTGTGTGTTTAGGTGTGTGAGAAATTGTGTGTGTGTTAGTGTGTGTGTGTGTGCGTGTGCGTGCGTGCGTGCGTGCGTGCGTGCGTGCGTGTGTGTGTGTGTGTGTGTGTGTGTGTGTGTGTGTGTGTGTGTCTGTGTGTGTGTGTGTGTGTGTGTGTGCCGTGCATTCGTGCGCGAGCGCGCGCGCGTGCGTGTGCCGTGCATGCGTGCGTGCGTGTGTGTGTGTGGGGGGGAGGGGGGGGGGGGGGGGGGTGAGGAGGGGGAGAAGGGTGGGTGTGTGTGTGTGTGCCGTGCATGCGTGCGTGCGTGTGTATGTGTGTGTGTGGGAGGGGGAGGGGGAGAAGGGTGGGTGTGTGTGTGTCTGTATGCATGCGCGTGTGTGAGTGTGTGTGTGAGTGGACCGACCCGACCGTGGTTGAGCAAGGAGGGGGCAACCACCTTTCTCCATGCGCACGCATGCTCACCCCATCGTAGTTAAGGAAGGAGGGGGCAGTGGCCTGCACATGCACCACCACGGGCTGTCGCTGCACGGCCAGCAGCAGCCCAAACCAGCCGTGGAACGCCGTGCGCTCAAACCCGTTCACTTTGAATGGCCCCCCCGTTAGCTTGCTCTGCGAAGGGGGCAGGGGAGGAGGGCAGGGTCAGGGGGGAGGGGTAGGGAAGGAGGGGTACGAAGGGAAGGTAGGCAAGGGAGGCACTATCAGGAAAAGAAAACAGCAATCTCTGAACAGATCCGAAAAAGATGTCCGTTTAGCTTGTGATCCCATGTGATCCTCATACCACGTAGTAGTTGCTCAGCTTGTTAATCATAATACGACTTGCAAATAAATGTCCTCTTTGTGTCAAGCATACTGTTTGTGTCATCCGAGAACCTTGGAGCCCATGAATGTAGATCAATCTCAGGCCTTTCTGGACATTGATAGATTGGAATGCCCAGGCACCAATACTCTTAAATGATACAAACAGTGTCCTTGACTGAAAATGAGGTATGCCCTAATGTGGCCGTGCCTTTGCCTTAACCCAAATGAAAACGCAGGAAAACGGAAAAGACGGTTCCCGCACGAGCAGGTCTTTGCATTCGGCTGTTAGAAACGTAGCCTTACCGTTCCGGGGGTCCGGCCTTTGCCGCAGGAGATCCCAAACGCTTTCACAAGTTGAGCAAAGACAGGCATGCCACAGAGCGGGCTTGTGCCGGTGCTGCCATTTTTCTTGCCCCCACCCCCGCTCACCACCACCCCCCCCTTCCCTTCCTCCGTCAGCCCAATGTTGGCTTTTTCATTGAGGGTGATGAGGTACTGGAAGGCCTGGGAGGGCGAGTTGCCTTGAGAGCATGAGGCGCCGAGGGCGTCGCGCAGCTGAATGACGGAGAGGATAGGCACGACTGTGAGGTTGGAGAGAATGCCGTAGGCCATTTCTATGCTGCCCACCACCGCGTACGCCCAGCAGTCGCCTGAGGGAGAGAGGGGGGGTGGGGAAAGGGACGAGAGACGATGCTGTAGGTGTAGAGTGGAATGAGGAGAGGGAAGAATGAATGAGAGAAGAGGAAGGGAACAACCCACAATATTACACTCTTTACCTCTCTCCCCCACCATCCCCCCCAACCCCAATGGGCCATCCCTATCCCATCCCATCCACACCGCCTTCTATCCCGTCCCACCCCTCCACACCCCATCCCCATTAGCACGCCCTCACCGCAGGGACCCTGGTTTTTAACGGGCCAAGGCAGACCCAGGTCAGCCCAGGAGAACGCCTGGCTCACAACCCACACCTCCTCGTCCTCCCCGCCTCCTGCCCCTGCTGCTTCTCCTCCTCCTCCTCCTGTTCCTGACGCCGGCAGAGGCTGCACGCCCCCACTGGCATAGCGGAAGAATGGGTTCGCCCCCACTGGCTTTAGGGATGCCTCACTCAGTTGGAACCCAAACTGCTGGCCTGGGGGGGAGAGGAGAGTGTAGGGTTGGGTAGGGTGCGGTAGATAGGGGTTGGGTAGGGTGCGGTAGATAGGGGTTGGGTAGGAGAGGAAGGATGGTTATGGACGAAAGCGATATGGAATTTGAGGTGGCCATGCTCCTAGGGGCGACCATGCATGAATCAGAAGGGGAATGTAAGATGGGCTGAAATGCATAAAAAGAGAATCAGGACAACACACAATGGGATTCGATAATAAAATTGAAGGGCTGGGATAGGAATTGGAATGAGGGTTACAAATTGTGCCAAAGGTTGGGATCTTGTAATGCAAAACCCAGCCACGAAACAAACATAATGTTAGAACAAGGGTGGATGGAATGAGGGGTTGACCAAAATGATAAGCCCTTACAATGTGCGTTGCACTTTTGAAAAGTGCAATAAGCCTTGATCACTGAGAGCCAAGATACCAGAATGAAAAGAAGCTTGCAATAGGCTACACCTTGCATGTACACCAAAGATAAATACCAGCGTTCTCAATGACCAGAAATGCTACCACTCAACAGGTCATAGCTAGTGCAGCGGGAGGGATTGTGTGAGGAGGAGTTTATGGAAAATGCTGGATCAACGATTTGGCAGAGGACTGGGGTGACGGCAGAGCGATTGGAGATTTGGAGAGAAGAAGTTCGAGCAACCAGAAAGGAAGGCTTTAGAGTGAAGCCAAAATTTTCAAGTCAGTACAGATCGTATCGTCCATACCTTTGAGAGTGGTTGTTTCTGGCAGGCCTGGATAGAAGGGATGATGGAAGGAGAGAGGAGAGAAAAGAAAGCACAGTGAAGAAAGGAGAGGTGAGGCAGGTAAGGGGATGGTTTGTGTTGCGTAACCTGGGCAAGTAATACTGGAGATGTAACCAGTGAAGGACATGTAACCAATGAAGGACATGTAACCAATGAAGGACATGTAACCAATGAAGGACATGTAACCAATGAAGGACATGTAACCAGTGACGGACATGTAACCAGTGACGGACATGTAACCAATGAAGGACATGTAACCAGTGACGGACATGTAACCAATGAAGGATATGTAACCAGTGACGGACATGTAACCAATGAAGGATATGTAACCAGTGACGGACATGCAACCAGGGAGCAAGAGTGGAGCAGCAAGAAAATACCTGCGTTGATGTTCCAGGCGAGGATGGAGTGCTGCTGAGGGGAATCTGATGCAGAAGCAGAGAAACCCATGAGGAATGAATCCTCCTGTCTGGTGGGCTTGAGGTAATGGCACAGAGACACTTGCACCGACAGAACTGCCTTGCTTGGTTGGGAAGACGCGCTGGCCGAGAGGAACACTTGCAGCAAGCCTGTGCCTTTAGCGGTAGCAGCGTTGGCACTGGTGCTAGAACTAGAGGAAGAAGAGGGGGAGGAAGGAGAGGGGTCGAAGACAACCCAGGCGTGCTTTGGAGTGCCATCGTTGAGAGTGAGGGCTGCTTTGGCAGTTGCGATGGAAGTGGTTTTGCCTTTTACGCTCAGCCCCACGTGATTGCTGTCTGGATCGTTGGCATCGGTGCTCTTAGAAGTGTCAAACTCCACGGCTATGCTGCGCTCATCCATGCCTGCATACCCCAAGCTGCCGTCGCCCCCACTGCCGTCACTGCTGCCACTGCTACCGCCTGTTACAGTGTCACTGGCTGCAATCACAAAGGCAAACCCGTCCCCTGCTTCTGCTCCAGCGTTGGCGGTGGTTGGTTTGAGAATGGAGAAGGAGAAATAGACGGTGAAGGAGAATGGCCGGCCGCATAAACCAGCTTTCAGGGCGAAGGAGAAGAGCGAGACGGGGATTTTGTAAAACGCCGCGCCCCACGTGTTGGGCTGTGAGTCTGTGAGTGTGATGGTTCCTTCAGTTGCTACTGCTGCCTTCCCTTTGACTTCTATCTGCGCTGCTGTGGGCACAATGTCAACTGGGTCGCCTGGCACACCTGGCAGAAACGGGGAGAGAGCGTGGGCAGGAAGGGAGCAAGAAAACGGAAGAACAGAACATGAGAGTAGGGGGAGGCAAGGAGAGAGGTCGTGATGCGGCCGTTGCTTGCTACTGCTGCCTTCCCTTTGACTGCTATCTACGCTGCTGTGGGCACAACGCCAACTGGATCGCCTGGCATGCCTGGCGGGTGAAGAGAGTGTGGGCAGGGAGCAAGGGGGAAAGGACAAATGAGTAGGGAAGGGCAAAGACAGATGAATGTGGGAATGCTTTGAAAGATGAGGGGGAAGGGCCACAGTGAGGGAGGTGGGGGGAGGGGGGAGGGTCAGGGAACGAGAAGACAGTGACATACATACAGTGGGTAAAGAGACAGGAAGGAAGGCGTGTGCAGAGGGGTAAAGCAGGCAGTGAAGCAGAGTGGAGCGCGGGAAGAGAAAGAGCTTTGCTTGCTAAATACTAGCCCCACACTTCAATAGTCACACGGTCCCCCCTCACCACCCTCACTAGCCTCACCCCCGTCACAACCCTCTAGTCACTCACTCCCCTTATCCCTAACATTCCCCTCGCCCCTCTCCCCCCCCACCCCCCTCCCCTCCTGCACTCACTTCCTTCAGGGACGCAGCTTCCAGGAAGCTCCCCATTGACAAACCCAGAATCGCAGTCACACGTGGGCACTTTGCTGGGCCCGGCCGCATAGCACGAGCCATGCCCGCCGCACGGGGGATCAGATGCACTCACGCCGCAAAACACAGAACAGAGAACTTCCGGCCGCTGCACCGCTGCAGCCTCAGCAGAGGGCGTGGCAGGCGTGGGGCAGGCGTAGCCTTGGGTTATGAGGCAGTTGAAGCGGAAGGAGATGGCGCCTTGGGAGCAGTTGGGTTGGGAGGAGAAGCCTGAGGAGAAATAGTTGAGGTCGAGATTGTAGGAGGTGAGGGATGCTGGGATGGGCTGCAGTACAGGCCCTGTCAGCTGGTTCTTGCGCAGGTTGCTGCGATTGTGAGGGAGAAGTGGGGAAGGGAGGGAGGAAGGAGGGCAAGGCTAAATTTACAAAATGCCTCATGACTCTCAGGATATCCTTCATTTAATAACTTGCATAGTATACTATATTACAACTAGGAGAAAAACTGTTTGGGATATGAAATCCCACATTTGCCCAATTTATTCACCCCCAGGGTTGGGTTGGGAGATGATTGGAGGTCCAATGATCTTTGTTCACCACCTGACCAAAATCACTGGACCCCGCAAAAAAATCCCTCCTCACTTATTGATAGGAGCCAATATTGTTGGGTCAAACTTGTTTGGTTTGTTCAACTGAATTAGTCAAGGCGCGCCGAACACGAACATGTTCGCGTGTTCGATGGAGGGGAGGGGCTGTAGATGAGGAGGGGGAAGGGGTTTTATGAGGGGAGAGGGGTTGTGGATGAGAGGAGAGGGGCTGTAGGAATTGTGGGTGGTGCACCCACCAGTACCAGATGTTGGTGCAAAACATGGTTTGCACGTCAACCTACCGCCTATTCGCCGACGATGAAGAAAAAATGATCTTTCTTATTGGAAGGTACTTTGTGGTGTGTGAGACACGCATCTTTTTGCTTGCTTTATGTTCGTGCGTTTACGGTTCATGAATCGCCTGAACGGTTATGAGTTATGTGCGTTTTAGTGAGACGTTCAGTTCATGATTGTTCATGAATGTCCGTGTCATGTTGTGAGCTCTTGTGAAAGTGTGTAAACTTTTATGAGGTTCCATAGATTTTTGTGAGTTTCCATGTGTTTCATGAGTCCGCGAGTGATGATGAGCTTTTGTGAGTGTTCGTGGTTTCTCATGTATTTTCGTAAGTGTTCATGTACGTTTATGTGCTCATCATTCGTCAAAGATAATGAGTTTTTATTTCACGAGAAATTATCATGTGTGTAGAAATTATCACATAAAGTGGTATTGCCATAATCTAATACCTCGGAGACCGACAACCCATACAAGCTGGGCAGCTAAAGAGAGGTAAAATCTCCTGCAAACGTTAACTCATTCCAAAACCGCGTACGTAAACGTACGGAAATGTAAATGTAACGTGAGCATGAGCGTAATATCCAACTAAGGGGAGGACACACAAAAAAGATTGAATGGAGGGAGGACGATGGGACAATGGAAGGAACACAGAAGAGAGTATGGGATAATGTGGCGTGGACGCACAGGAGAGTGAGGCGGACAAGGCCGGTGAACTGAGTGGGGATGGTTCCATGCAGACGGTTGTTGCTCAGGTCACTGCAGGGAGAGAGAACGAGAGAGGATGTGTGAGAGGGTATGAGGGCAGAGGGATTTGGAAGGAGAAACAAATCGAGTGAAAAGGGTGAAAGTGTTTCCTTTTCTTTTTGCGTGCACTACACCGATTGCCACAAGGATTTGATTCTGGCTGCGAAATGGTTATTGAGGAGAGTTTCCAAACAATTACAATTCTAGCGCCCTTTTCTCAGTTCAAGGACCCCTTTGAGTGGAGAGCGAGCTTTCATCAGCATAATGTGAAACGCACTCCACCCTTAAAAAAAGAGGCTGGCTTTGAGGCGCCGCAAGAGTCAACCATCTTTCAGCACGACGATCCATTTAACAAAGAAATGGAAAGAATATATTGGGACCACTCACTCGCATGACATAGCAGGATATCACGCACTCGATGGCATGAAGCAGAATAAGGAGTGGAGAGCGGAGAGCACTCACAGCGTTTCCAGCCTCAACAGCCCTCCGAGAATATTGGGCAGGGTGCCGCTGATTTGGTTGCAGCAGAGCTTGCTGAGGGGAGTTGATAGAGGGTGTAGAGAGGGCATAGAGAGAGGGCATAGAGAGAGGGCATAGAGAGAAGATGTAGAGAGAGAGGGCACAGGAGGGGGCAGAGAGA